AATTAAGTGCTTCTAAACAAATAGCTCAAAACATGATAACCGCACAACAAATCAAAATTTTTTGCATTTGTAATGTTAAAGCAGCTAGAAATAGCAACAAATCAATCCGTTCATAGAAACTCAAACAAAAATCAGATTGGTTGCGACTCCATATCAAACATAAAAATCTGAAAATAAAATGTTGGGTAATTTGAACTATAATCATTATATCAAATTGCGCAATAGTAATTATTAAATGTGAATTTGGATTTCTTGATATTAAAAATTGTTATCTTATTTAATAATTTATATTTTATTGTTTAGTAAAATTTAAAATGTAAATCATAGAAATGCTTACCAAAACATATATAGAGTCAAAGGCCAAGAAATAGCAACTATTTTCTTCCGCCAGAGCAAAAGCACTAACAATATTGGAGAAAATGGAGCACACCTCTATTTACAATATGGAAACAAAATGTAATCTCCTTCTTGGAAAAAGGTAAATTGCCTAAATTCACTTTCAAAATTAGGTGGTAGAGACAATTTTACGTTAAATTAAAAAAATAATAAATTCATGATAAAATTTAATTTTTCATTTATTAATTATTATTCACTTATCATTTTAGTCTAAAAAACCTAGTTTTTCTCACATTCATCTATAAATTTTGAAAATCATTTCAAATTCATTTATCTAATATATTTCTATTAGTTTTTTTAACAAAACCCCATGGCATGCTTATGTGACATATGCTGTTTTGAAAAATTATACTTGATGCTTCTTCTTTTTTATGGTTATTTGTTCATCTTAACAATATTTTCACTTTTTAGTGAGATTTTTTGTTTATTTTTTTTATTTTAATTTTTAATAAATCCATATGTTTTAATTTTGATTAATAACTAAAAAAATCATCATTGTCATTATTAAGAGGATTGATTTTAAAATAATAGTTATTTTTTAAAGTTTTGAGAGAAACAAATTTTTGTTTTATTAAACTTAATGATTATATTTTAGTTTTAATTATCCATTTTATCATAAAAAATGTCTCTTTATTTTTATTTTTTTAAGGTAAAATAGGGAAGGATAAAACTAATCCCCCAAAAAAAATTTTTTGATAGCAAATAGTGATTATATTAAATAAATAAAATTAAGATTACATATAAATCCCAATATCATGGCATAAATAACCAAAGTACAAGTATATTTTATTACACTAGATACAAATTTAAATTATATCCATAACGAATATAAACAATCAAATACATAAAATGATCTACACCTAAAAATTATATTAATAATCACTATAGGAATATATATAGAGCTAGCTACTAGCATAAGAATAAAATAAAATAAAGTCTTTGTGAGCATCTAAACTATTAGACATTCTCAACTGTTATAGCAACTTCTAAAAAGAGTAGGTACTTTATCTAAAATAACCACATTCAATCGACATAAAAAAAAAACGCATAATAAACTGAACGACCTTTGATTCTCATTCATTTTTCAGTAAATGTATACAAACTTAAACATTGAATCTAAGAAAATACAGAGAAAATCAACAAAATAAAAGAGACACCCACGGCGGAGTTTTTCTAGGAAGATAGATCCGGATCTGATGAGAGGGATCCCACCTCTCATCGTCCCCTTCACCACCGTTCCCAGAAGACCCCTCTGCTCAGAAATTTACCTAAACAGAAGCAGACACAGCAAATAAGCCCTCTTTTCAGTCGCCGTTAACCTCCGGTACAAAAACCGAGCCCTCTTTCAACAGAAAACTTTTCCTTTCCTCCGCCGGCAACACCAGAACCACAAAAAAAACAAAAAGACGACTCCGCCGTCAACACCAGAACCACACAACAAAGACCTCCCCGGTGCCAACCTAAAACCACCTATTTATACCCAAACACCAAAACCCTAAAAACCCTAAAAGGAACATTCTAGAATCAATCTCTCCGGACCTTTTGGATCCCGGTTTTGGGCTCTTCAAATCTGTGCCGAATCTGCAAGGCATTTGGGCCTCTCCGATGTTGATCCTTTTTACAAAAATATGGAAATGCACTTGGGCCTTCATCCACGCCCAATTCACTCTGTCGTCACCGACCCGTAGCTAGCATAGATTTGGTTTGCAGATCTGTTTCAGTTGGATGATGATTGATAATTTGCCGAGTCGCCGAGGTTTCGCGTGCACCTCACCGCCACCACCAATCAACAGATCCGGCTTCATTTGCTCATGTTCTGTCGTTCACTCGCCGGGATTGTGGGTGCTGGGCCACGGGAATGATTAGGAAGGTATATCAATTGAAACTAGGGGCTTGACATGGGAAGGAGTTTAAAAATGATGGGAATTGAAGGCTTGGAACCGAAGAAGGGGAAGAGCATCGCCGGCTTCTTTTTTTTGAGAAATGGCTGCCGGTTGGTCTGCGACAAGAAGAGGAAGGTGAAATCAATGGCTGAGGATAAAGATTCATGGATTTGGGAGCCATGGGAGAGATGATGGTAACCGGAAAACTCGCCGGCGTCGACGGATCTGGAGAAAACTGAGCCTGCATGGAGAATGATCCGGGAGATGAGGGGGACAGAGAGAAAGCCGAAGGTGCATGAGGGGAAGAAGATCGAAGTGGCTTTGGCATGGAAAGAAGCTCAGCGGCCGGTGACTTCGGCAAAGGGTGGCTGCCGGATGGTCTTGGGGAGGAGAAAGTCTGCTGTATCCCCAGGATACAACAGACGTGGTATCCCAACCCAATGGGAAAACACCACATCAGTTGTTTTTTGGGTTTGG